TGGTTTGTTTATAATAAATGCTCTCGAGGCTAAAGCATAAGAATACCAGAAATATTCCCCAATAAGAACAAATGTATAAAGTATATTTCGTTAATCAAATATCTCGTCGACTTTAATATTATTTTAAATTTATGTATTTTTTCAAAATTTACAATATTACCTTGGATATTTCATAAAAGTTCCAAAATTATCACATTTTAAAAATGCATTTGCTCAAGTAGGAATACGACGTGAAATCTTACAATCTACCCGTCTTTGGGAGGCCCAGCGTCCACATAGGCATACCGCCCGATATCTAGCTTTGATACAATTTGTAACAGTTAAGTCCACTACTAGCAAATATTGTCTTTTTTAACCGGTATCGTGGTCAATCTCTCTCCAACTAACCTGAGATCTCATAAAATTTATTTGTAAATATGTGTGAAACGACATGAAAGTAACTAAGATGATTGTCTAGATTAATTTTAAAACAATAACATTCCGACCCATGAACTCTTAATCCAATATTTTAACAATTTTTCTACTCTAAAAATATTTTTAAACGTTTATAAAAGATCTTACCCCTTCAACACGGGAAAGTTGATAAACCCGAAAGAAAAAACACCTTTGAGCAGGGAAAGAGAAGAGACCAAGACAGATAGATACCCAATCAAGAGAAGCTGGAAAGCTAAAAACAAAAAACCAAAACAACAAAAAGGAAGCAGAAACAGACATAGAAATAGTTTAAGTTACTTTGATTTGATGTTCATAAACAATTCAATGGAAGAGAAAATAAACAAATTTAAAGAAAAAACTCAGAAAATTAAGCTGTAAAGATTCAACAAAAGCTTTGGTTGTAAAGGAAACAGAGCAAGAATCAGACCAACTTGGATTCCAACATGTTGTGTGCTGTTCTTTCGTTCTTTCTGACACACACCCTATTGTTCTTCTTACGCTTGTGGCCCCATCCTCCACATGTGCTTCCGCTTCCCCTCATTCTAATCCCATAAACACATTATTTGATGTGTTCTTTCTATTGGGTCGGATCAAAAATCCTTACTTTCCAATCTGTTCTTGAAGATTTTTAACTTTGAATCGAGTTCTTACCAAAAAAAACTATGTTTTTCTGTTTTTATGCAATGATTTTTGCTCTCTCTTGAGAAATCTTGTCCTTCGTTCTGCTGCCGTTTCTTTCCATGGAGAAGAAAACCCAGTTGGGATTCAACCATTTTCTCCTCGTTCATCTCTTAACCTTCGCTTCAATCTTCCTCTCTGCAAAACCCCAAGAACTCAGCTCTGATGCCTCTGTAATGCTGGCACTGAAAAAGGGTCTAAACCCGCCGGAATCTCTTGGCTGGTCGGACCCCAATCCCTGCAAGTGGAGCTTCGTCCTCTGTTCCGACGACAATCGGGTCACTCGGATCCAAATCGGCCGCCAAAATCTTCAGGGTACGCTCCCTTCAAATCTACAAAATCTCTCTGCTTTAGAGAGATTGGAGCTTCAATGGAACAAAATCTCTGGCCCTTTGCCGAGCTTGAGCGGATTAACCTCTTTGCAAGTGCTTTTGCTTAGTGGGAACCAGTTCACTTTCATTCCGGCGGATTTCTTCGCCGGAATGAGCTCGCTTCAGGCTGTTGAAATCGACGACAACCCCTTTTCAGCCTGGGAGATTCCGGCTAGTCTTCGTAATGCTTCCACTCTACAAAACTTCTCAGCCAACTCCGCCAATGTTTCCGGCCAGATTCCGGCGTTTCTCTGCGGCGATGACATTCCAGGGCTGACTAATTTACACCTTGCTTTTAATAATCTTGAAGGGGGTCTTCCTTCTAGCTGCTCTGGGTCTCAATTGGTGTCTCTATGGGTTAATGGCCAAAAAAGTGTCAATAAGCTTAGTGGGAGTATTGATGTTCTGCAGAACATGACTTCTTTGAGTGAAATTTGGTTGCATTCGAACTCGTTTTCGGGTCGTTTACCGGATTTTTCAAGGTTGAAGGATTTGCAGGTTTTGAGTTTAAGAGATAACAAGTTTACAGGTCTTGTTCCAAGTTCTTTGATGAATTCTGAGTCGTTGAAAGTGGTGAATTTTACTAATAATCTGCTACAGGGTCCAGTTCCTCTGTTCAAAACAGGGGTCGTAGTGGATTTAGCTAATGATTCCAACAGTTTTTGTTTGTCAAAACCTGGGGAATGTGATTCACGAGTAAATTCATTGCTTTCCATTGTGAAATTCATGGGCTTTCCTCAGAGATTTGCAGAGAATTGGAAGGGAAATGATCCTTGTAATGAATGGATTGGAATTTCTTGCAGGAATCAGAGCATAACCATTATAAACTTTCAAAAAATGGGGCTTTCTGGTGTGATTTCTTCAGAGTTTGCTACTCTTAAAGGGCTGGAAAGATTGGTTCTTGCTGATAATAACCTCACAGGCTCTGTTCCTGAGGAGCTTACAAGCCTTCCTTTTCTAACTGAGCTGGATGTTTCAAACAATCAGCTTTCTGGGAAGATCCCAAATTTCAGGAGTAATGTAATGATTAACACTAAGGGCAACCCTGATATTGGGAAAGAAACGAGTGATTCTTCTTTGGATGGCGCTCCGTTGTCGCCTGACTCAAAGGGAGCGGGTTCGAACGGTGGTCGAAACTCGGGAGATGAGGAGAAGAAGCACAATTCCATGGTTGGTGTCATTGTGGGTTCTGTAGTTGGTGGGCTGTTTGTTGTTTTCTTGATTGGTTTGGTGGTTTTGTGTGTGTATAAAAGGAAGCAGAAGCGATTTAGTCAAGTGCAAAGCCCGAACGCGTTGGTTGTTCATCCACGGTATTCGGGTTCGGATAACGAGAGTATGAAGATCACGGTTGCTGGATCAAGTGTTAGTGTAGGTGCTATTAGTGAAACACGATATGGTGATAGTAGTGAGGTTGATGATATTCAAATGGTTGAATCAGGAAACATGGTGATTTCGATTCAAGTGTTGAAAAACGTCACGAATAATTTCAGTGAAGAGAATGTTTTGGGACGGGGAGGATTCGGGACGGTCTATAAAGGGGAATTACACGACGGGACGAAGATTGCAGTGAAGAGAATGGAGTCAGGAGTGATTAAAAGCAAGGGATTAACAGAGTTTAAGTCTGAGATTGCTGTTTTGACAAAAGTTCGACACCGACATCTCGTCGCTCTTCTCGGATACTGTTTGGACGGGAACGAGAAGCTTCTTGTGTACGAGTTCATGCCTCAAGGTACACTTAGCAGGCATCTTTTCAACTGGTTAGAAGTAGGATTAAGACCTTTGGAATGGACAAAGAGGCTGACCATTGCCTTGGATGTTGCAAGGGGTGTTGAGTATCTACATGGTTTGGCTCATCAAAGCTTTATACATAGGGATTTGAAGCCTTCAAACATTCTTCTTGGAGATGATATGAGGGCTAAGGTTGCAGACTTTGGTCTCGTGCGTTTAGCACCGGAAGGTAAGGGTTCTATTGAGACGAGGATCGCCGGGACCTTCGGATATTTGGCACCAGAATATGCAGGTACTTCTCGACATCGAAAACTATTGATATATATCTGTCATTATTGTGTTTCTTCTTGGATCGTCTCGTCATATCTCGTCATGGCAATGCAAATACTTTAGATTATGAGATTCTCTATCTTGTTAACGTTCTTCGAGCTCGTGTGTGTGATGACTCGATACTAACATAAAACTCCTATTATGCAGTTACGGGTCGAGTAACGACTAAAGTTGATGTATTCAGCTTTGGTGTGATTCTAATGGAGCTGATCACTGGGAGAAGGGCGCTTGACGAAAGCCAGCCTGAGGAGAGTATGCACCTTGTAACTTGGTTCCGACGGATGCAAATCAACAAGGAATCCTTCCACAAGGCCATTGATTCGACCATTGAACGTACCGAAGAAACGTTCGCCAGCATCAGCACCGTTGCCGAGTTGGCAGGTCATTGTAGTGCTAGGGAGCCACAACAAAGGCCAGATATGGGTCATGCAGTCAATGTATTGTCATCTCTTGTCGAGTTTTGGAAACCAACTGACCAAAACGTCGAAGATATATATGGCATTGACCTCGAGATGTCGTTGCCTCAAGCACTTAAGAAATGGCAGGCTTATGAAGGTAGAAGTCAGATGGAATCGTCGTCCCTTCTTCCCAGCTTCGACAACACTCAAACAAGCATACCGACACGACCGTACGGGTTTGCAGAATCATTCACATCTGCAGATGGGAGATGAAGACTATTTCTTATGCAAAATAGTGTTTATATGTAATTGTTCTCATCCCTACAATTACTACTGATTTCTCATATGTTTTAGTATGGATGTGTATTAGTGTATTGAACCAGAAAAAATGGTTTATTTAGATCATCTCTTTTTAACTCGAAAACTTATCAGGCAAGCTCCATTTTTGTTCTTTTAATCTCTAAGAAATGCCGCTATTCAAGATTGTAAGGGCCTCTTTTGAAATAAGAGGATTCATACGTACGTTTCAAACATAGCAACATAAATAGAGTTTAGCTAATATAGAGTATGAACTCTTGATTTTTGATGCATACAACGAGTTTAGATTGGTGGTGGTGGTCTATTAAAAGAAATTTGTGGATGGGACGTGCCATGTATTCATTAAAGGGATATTTCTTCATAAAGGGCCCAAATAAGATAATCTTCAAAATGGGATAACTACAAAGTAGGGCATGGTTGGAGTTGTCTTCCTTATCCTTGTAAACAACTTTAATCCATATTTCCTTCCCATTCCTTGATTTTTTAGGAATCATGGTGGGTTTAATGATTCGCCATAGGAAAGATCTTCGCTTTATAGTGTCGATGTAAGGCCGAAGAGGGATAGGGTTGCAACTGAGGATACCAAAATTGGCATTAATGTGGTGGCCAAGGTGTTATCATTGAGTCAAAAGAAGCATATACATCAACCAAGAACAAGTACAACCCAACCATTCAATATCCCCCACTAATACTATTCAAGACATCTTTGGAACTATAAGCCAATACTAAACTGTTCACTGGGGGAGCAAAAAGGGAAAATGCCGGCTTATGCATATTTGATCCAATGGTATCGACTGAAAATGAAATTGGACTCTCTTGACAGCATATAAGACTTTGTTTTGTAAATCAAATGACCCAATAAATACAAGAAGACATTACTCGGCAATTTGATTTAACAGAAACAAATTCCTGGACTGAGCAAAATTGACAAAATAAGCACAGTTTGGCAAAAGTTACAAGAACTATGTTAGTTATAAAGCTTACAGGACAAACCAGAAGCATAAAATGACTATAATATGAAAGGGGGAGTCCTCACAACATTCTTCTTTGCATTACAGAACGATCGAAGGCTGTCTTCATCAATCGTGCCAAAGCCCGATAAATGAACTCCATAATTTTCCATTCTTTTGATATCTCGTGGAATGGGAGATTGCCAAAGTCCATCCCACCATGCTGGAGGGAGAAGAGGGGTTAAGGCACACTGGTTAGGCTGGCTAGGGCAGCTTAAAGGACCTGCAAATCTGTTCCAGATATGACCCCAGCCAACCTGGTTCTTTAAACCTTCTCTCAACAAATTACTTTGGAAGCTACTCAAGAAGAAGAAGTCTGGACCAGTAGAATTGTTCCCTGAGCATATTTGTAATGTTATGTTAGGAACAGTTTTACAGATGTTCCTCGAAGAAACAAATTATGTTCCTACATGATGTAAAATGATAGATAGAGTATTCAAAGATACCGAGATTGTCGAGATTGTGTGCTGCAGCCAGTGCTGCGATTAGCTGAGCGTAGGTAGTACCTACACGCCTGTGAGCACCAGAAATAACAGCACGCTTGGCACGGGATGCAAGAAAAAAATCCACAAAGGCAACCCATCTTGGTGACGGGCCCCAGTCCTTCACTCTGAAATCCAATTTATGAAATTCATCGTGCGTTCCAGAAATGATTCCTCTGAAGTGTTCATAATCAAAATGAATAACCTGAAAACAGAGTCACAAATGAAAGTGGTCCGAAATTGTTTTACAGGCATACAAAAGTTATGGGGTTCTTTGACTGAACAATTATTCCGTTAAGCATGTATTTTGAAATTGGGACTACATTTGAAGAATGGAATCACACAATGAGGAAGTTACCTCTGCAAATTCACCTAGCATGGGCACAATACTTTTTACAAAATTTGGGGTATCTGATACTAAAACCAATCTGGGTTTCGAGTTCGTGGTTAGATTGCGTATGCCTTTTCTGATGCACTGCAATGCAGCCTGTAAGCCTCTCACAGACCTGAAATGCAGATGCACATTGCTCAGGGAAAGGATTACAAAAGTGACTAATATCTAGGAATTTTATCAACTAAATGGAATTTATTGGAAATAGACATTGTGGATTCAATTCTTATAGCTAGTGGAAGTAGAGAGAGAAGGAAATAACGGTAAATAAGTAGTAACACTACCTATTCATAAGCATCCTCATGTGCAATGAAATATCAGGATCATCCCCACTTTTAAGAACTGAGAACACCGCTTCTTCAACATCCTTTGACGGAGATATAAGAACTCTCATCAGCTCTCCGAATACATTAGGTCTAGATTCCAAAAGCTCTGGATGTCCAAACAAATTAGAAGCAGCGGCCCTCATGGCGGGATGTACATTCTTCAAGAAAAATTGAGCAGCCACAGCATCTGTTGTACCTTGGAACCTGATGCACATCAGTCAGCATAAGAAGAGTACGAATTGAGTACCGGTTTAAAGTAAACTGAAAGTTAACTATACCATATGATAGGATGCTCCCATTCCTTCCAATTACTACATAGAACATTTGTCTGTGCAGGCTTTTCAAAATCATCAGTTCGCATAATCAAATGCCTATTGAATTTCCTAATACAACCTTTAAGTCTCCACAAATGCTTGATTTCTTTCATGGTAAACGTGACATCGGAATAAGAAATGTAGTCCCCAAATGGAAACTTGCCCCTGAAAATAGAAGTAATAACATAAGTACTATGAAAGTTATTCCATCAATGCACGACTATAATCCTATTGCATAGATATGCATAGTTTCTTCTGATACTAATCTGATGGCTTCTTTGAAGTTATTCCATCCATTTATTGAGATTTTAGCTGAGAAAAGCTAACGAGTTTTTGTATACCAGACCCGATGCATCATTACTTTGCCTATAACTTGAAATGTGAGTGTGAAATGGGAACTATCACAGACAAAAGATGCCTCTAACGACTCGATACATTTATAGTATTCAAAACCTTTAAATAGAAATAAAAAGGCTTGATATAGAACCAACATGCCTGGTTTGCCCAATAATCAAGGATCTGTTCAGCATTATACTTAAAGCTCCAGCAGTTAGAATCTTGTACATCTCATTCCCAAAGCCTGCCTCTGAAGATTTGCCCATGACAAAACCATGTTTGCAAAACTGCTCCGGAGGAAGTTGTCGCACTCTTGAAGCACCTAAAATGAAATTAACCATGTCAGTTTTTATAAATCTCAGAAAGCTAACAGGTTTTCCACCAGAAAACAATTATGACAAAAGGTTGAACAGTTAAGGAAAAGCCAAAATGAAGAAGATTAGTTTTAGAATTTTTATTTGAATAAGAAGAAGAGCACAAACTACACCATCAGAAAAAAAACCAATATGAATTTCCCTATAACCTATTCTAAAGAACGAATATGTATACGTGAGTTTTCTTCTTTCTCACTTTATGTATTCTTTCGTCAAGAGATCCACCATAACTCATAAGACCCAAGAAGTCTTTAATACACCTGCTTGGCTTCACAAAACGTCCTCGTGGAATCTTTATTAAATTCAAAACAATCTCTTTTACTAACAAAGCGGACTACTTAAGAACCCAGGAATTTAACTATTAACAACTACTGACTACAAAGAATTGAGCTAAACCAAACCAACAAGCAGTTCATTTTCAATTCACTCCAACAACTATCTTCTTTATTATAGAGTTGGCAGCTTGAAGAACATCGAATCCTCATTCTCAATTTGAAAGCAACTCAAGGAGACCATTCTTCACGCTCATATGGCACCATAATGCAATCAAGATTACTTTTAACCACACAATGATCTCCTACTATTGTTCTGGCATTATTATCCCCACTGACCAAGTGGAATGGTATCTTTGACCTACTAGAGAAAGAATAATAATAATAATATTCCACCCTTCTGCAGTTTTCTTTTTTTAATTATTTAACAAGAAGCTGGATCTATCATTAAGCAAAAGAAACAAAAAAAAAGCCCAGTAAAAGGAACAGTCGACCAAGAATTTCTATTGCACCAATCCATTATCATCAATATTCCTATGAACTTATAGCCAGGTGAAAAAAATATCGAATCTCTTTGGGAACTTTGACCATCCAAATTACATCTGGGACCTAAGGTTTTCTCTAGTTTCATCCACCATCCTTCTCCAAATTCCAACTACTTTCCCCTGTTTACAACCAGTATCTTCCACATTCCTTCAACTCGAGACCAAAACTCTTTACAACTCGCACCAGGTTGGTCTAGTAATTAGGGGTCAGGCTGATATTGATTGAAAAGGCAGTCCTGCCGCCCCTCCCCCTAGCAGCCTACCTACTCGTGATCTTAGCTCCATCGGAGGTTGACTGAGTGTAGTTTTTGATCTACGACATTTTACTCAACACCCCCAAACAATCAGTATTTTATATTCAATCGATACAGCCAACACATTCACTATGGAACATCAAACGATTATTATAATGGCAACAAATGGATCGTGAGCCGAATCATGACTCCATTAAACTGTCCTAATATACAAAAGAAGAGCTGCTTGCCAGTAGCTATTAATCATTCATTTAACTATAAGACGATCAACAAGGGGAGGGCAGATGGTTATCAGAAAAGCATCTAGGGAAATATTACCATTCAAATAAAAGTGATTTTGAATAATTTTTCTTACTCTCAGGCTTTCCTTCCAGACACCATCTTTGAAGGCCTCTCCCATCTTCTCCACCGTCGCACAGCTCCGCCTTCCGTCCATTTCATTCAGAACCCGACTTTCTTCAACGTCGTCGCCATTACCTAACTGATCAGAGGACGATTCTGACTCTCGAGCCTCCATCCTCATAAGAAAATTGAGCATAAAAAATCCGATTGAAGCACCGACGGCACATAGAACAACGACATATCGCGCAAACGATGACGATCTTTTCTTCCTGGATCCACCATGCCTCATTGTTCTGTTGCTTCACAATCTGGTGTAGAGATTCAGATTATAATTCCAAACAGAAATGCGAATTGCAGCTCAGTATGAACTTTTCTACTTCGTGGGTTCATACTTCATGACCAATTAAACAAGGGGTTTCCAAGAGGGAAATCGGAGAAAATGATGGGTAATCATAAAAAATTAGTCCTTCGTGACCCATTTAACCCGCGGGCCCAACCTTGAGGAAGCACACCTTACTTTCAAGTATATATATATATATATATATATAGATGCATATAATATTAAAACTTTAGTTTTTATAAATTAAGTAAAAAATAGGAATTATGGATTAAATTTTTTGAAATTAATATTTTTTAATTGGAGAAAAAAATTCCGAGAAGCCTAACCCCATCAAGAACCTTCGTCTTCATCCTCGTAAAAATAAATAAAAAATTTTATAGATAAGGAAACTGAAATAAACGGTATGGACGAGGAAGTCTTCCTTATCTTCGCCCACCTGTGACATCTCTACTCTCGAGTTTTAAATTTGTAGAAAATGATTTTTTTCTAGAAACATTTTTATTTGGAGCTTTTGACTTTAACGTGGGAGATGAACTAGTCTTCACCCAGAGTTCTTCCATCACGGGAAAGTGCATATGTAATGTTCTTAGTCATATGTCCCGCCAAGACCTTTTTTAGTTGTCTCAACGGGCGTCACGATTTATTTTTTAAAAAATTAAAGTTTGATAGATAAATAAATACTATTTTTTTTTTTTTAAGCAATGCAGTGTAGAAGAATATTTAATATTATAAATTTTTTTTATTCCAATTCATGAATTTTTAATTAAAAATTTATATTAACCTTGGCTATTATATTTTAGGAAATTATTAAATAGAAACCAAACCTTTTTAAGTATGGGGTGGGGGGTAATGTTATAATTTTTTTTTTTTTTTATTTGGGTTGAATGGAATTTTTTGAAAAATAAAATTTCGTCCCATAGGATTGACGGTCCAACTCAACTCTACTTTTAAAATTTTAAGTTAAGTTAAGTTAGGTAAGACTATGATGCAATATCGAGTCACCAACTCTACCATTCTAATAATTCGAGTTGGTCTAAAAAAAATCTAATCAATCAAATACAAGTCATGTATACCCATATCAACCTGGAAATAGTGTTCACAATCCAACCCAACTAAACCCTATTTTTAAAATTTCGAGTCAGGTTAAGTAGGGATATGAAACATATTCGAGTCACCAACCCAACTATTTTGAAGAGACGAGTTGGTCTAAAAAAAATTCCAATCAATCAAATACAACCCGTGTACACACCTATCAATCTGGAAATAAGGTCCACAATCCAACTCAACCCTACTTTTAAGATTTGGAGTTAGGTTAGATAGGGTTGTGAACTGTATTCGAGTTACCAACCGAACCATTTTGAAGATTCATGTTGGTCTAAAAAAACTCCAACCATCAAATACAACCCATGTACAAACCTATCAACGTGGAAATAAGGTTCACAATCCAACCCAACTCAACACTACTTTTAAAATTATGAGTTAGATAAGTTAGGGCTATGAAACATATTTGAGTAATCAACCCAAATATTATGAAGATTCGAGTTGGTCTAAAAAAATTCCAACCAATCAAATACAATTTGTGTCCGCACCTATCAACTTGGAAAAAATGTCCACAATCCAACCCAAACCAACTCAACTCTACTTTTAAGAATTGGAGTTAGGTTAGATAGGGGTGTGAACCATATTCGAGTCACCAACCCAATCATCCTGTAGAGTTGGTCCAAAAAAAATTCAACTAACCAAATATATCTATCAAAAACAAAAACTATTAAATTTGTTTGTTAATTTGAATATGTTCAACTGATTAAAAGATACTAAAATAGGTTAAAAAAAAAAAAAAAAAAAAAATGTAATGTTGTGGAGGGTGTTCACGAAGGAAGTAGAAAGTCGGACCACAGAATGATGGCGTGGGATGCAGAGCCAAAAATAACCAAATTCCTCTAAAACTCCCGCTTTCTCTCCACTCCTTTACAACGACCATTTCAAAATCCAACCACAAAGTCAAGAACACATGAAACTCTAAGAAAAAAAAAACACCAAATTTCATATCATGGATAATTTTCTTCACAATTTGCATCTCTTTTCTTGAAACTCTCCACTTTTTTCGTTCTTCCAACTCCCTAATTCAACCACAATGGAGAAGAACCAACCTGAGAATCCAGACCTTCTTGAGAAAACCAACGACGATGTCCCCAAATTGCTCGCTGATGATGCCATTGTTGCCGTTCCAGATGCTGTTGCTGGTGAATCCGAAGTAAAATCTGCAGATAAATTGGAGGATGATAAGGATCAGGAGGAGAAGGAGAAGGAGAAGGAGAATGAGACGGAAAAGGAGGAGGAGTTGAAGGAGAAGGATGAGTCTAAGGATGAACTGGAGCTTCATTGTGATCTCCAGACGATTCTTGAAGACGTAGATCAATTTCTGTTAACTTCTCACGGTTCTCGCGACCGAGAGGAGGATTCTGCTGTGGAGATTCCGAAGTTCATCGACAAGTTCATGGATCTCGTGGATGCCAAGATTGAGCAATACGAGAATACAGAATCGAATGCCAAGGAAAGAGAGTACCGAGTGCCGGAGGACGAATCTTCGTTTCTGGAAGCAGTTAATCGGATAGCGAAGCTCAAAAGTGCAATCCACAAAATGAAGTTGGAAGACGAGAAGAATCCGTTGATCAATCGCATCGGGAGCACTCAACAGCGATCATTTTCTTGTTTAGAAGAAGAGTTCAGGTTCTTTCTCGAGGAATCCAGAAATGGCGATTCGGATCCCGAACCGGATCGTTGTGATGATGCTGACTCCGCTCAACTCCTTTTTCCAGGTTACTCCGGCGAGATCGTGAGCTATTTGAACAAAATCGCTAACCAAATGATTGCCGGTGGATTCGAATCGGAATGTTGCCAAGTTTACATCGTAGCAAGAAGAAACATATTCGAAGATGCCTTGCAGAAGTTCGGATTCGAGAAATACAGCATTGATGATATACAGAAGATGAGTTGGGAATCAATGGAGAGGGAGATCGCTATATGGATCAAAACCATCAAGCATTGTGCCACCGTTTTGTTCTCCGGCGAACGGGATCTCGCCGAATCTGTATTTTCAGCGTATCCTCCAATCTCCGCCAGTCTGTTCAGCAATCTAACTCGCGGCATTGTGATTCAACTCCTAAATTTCTCAGAAGGAGTCACAATGACGAAACGCTCCGCCGAGAAATTGTTCAAGATGCTCGACATGTACGAAGCTCTTCGTGATCTGGTCCCAAAAATGGAAGACTTATTTCCAGAAGAATCCGCCAACGAACTCAAAACAGAGTCCACAACCGCTCGAACTCGTCTAGGCGAAGCGGCGATTTGCATATTTTGCGATCTCGAAAACTCGATCAAAGCCGACACGGGACGAACTCCGGTACCAGGCGGCGCCGTTCATCCATTGACTCGATACACCATTAACTACTTGAAATATGCGTGCGAGTACAGAAACACGCTGGAACAGATTTTCAAAGATCACGCAAAGATCGAGCGAGCAGATTCCACAAACCGACCACATTTCGAAGGCGAACAAGCACCGACTTACAACCACCCTAGCAATGACAATCAATCCCCATTCTCGACGGAACTGACGAAGGTAATGGAGCTCCTGGACTCAAATCTGGAAGCGAAATCAAAGCTGTACAGAGACATAGCACTGAGTTCGATTTTCATGATGAACAACGGGCGATACATCTTGCAGAAAATCAAAGGATCTGCAGAGATTCACGAACTGGTAGGCGATGCTTGGTACAGGAAGAGATCTTCGGAGTTACGCCAGTACCACAAGAACTACCAAAGAGAAACATGGGGAAGATTGTTGGGGTGTTTGAACCACGAGGGTTTGATGGTGCACGGGAAAGTGATAAAGCCAGTGCTGAAGGAGAAGTTCAAAGGATTCAACGCCCTGTTCGAAGAGATTCACAAGACGCAAAGCACGTGGGTGATAAGCGACGAGCAGCTTCAATCGGAGCTCCGAGTATCGATATCGGCGGTGATGATTCCGGCGTATAGGTCATTCCTAGCGAGGTTTTCGCAGTACTTGGATCCGGGGAGACAAACGGAGAAATACATTAAGCTACAGCCTGAAGACATAGAAACCTACATAGATGATCTATTCGATGGAAATGCATCCTCCATGGCAAGAAAGAGAACATAAAAAAGCTTGAAGATCACGAAATGAAGCTTGAAAAAGGCAAGAATCCATTATTCTCTATAGAATTCTTCTTCATCTTCATCTTTCTAAATATATATATTTTTTTTTTCTTTTGGTTGGAAGCCCTAGCTGAGGCTAGTTTTGTCATGCCAGATTGCAATTGATGAATTGCAATTGCAGTTGCATTTCCTTGGCTTCAATTTGCTGAATGCGCTGCGCTGTTCCATTTTGTTTTGAAATTATGTTACGTTTTCCTCAAACGATTGCTTGTAATTGTCAAAATTAACCATGTAAAATTCTTTTTGTTTTTGGCCTTCCTCCACTCTTAGCTCTCACCCCTTTTAGATTTATTGGTTCACATCCTCCATCAAAACTATTTCTTCTCCATTGAGGATCATGAAATAAGTAAGAATACTATTTCTACTGGAATACTATTTATGGGTATTTCAATCCAAATATCAGAAGGGATGGTAGTTCTTTTTCTCATTCTTGAAGTGATTCAAATTGAATGACGAATCCATTTCTTAGCTTCTTTGCAAATAAATTAGAATTACCGTGGAAAATAGCAGAATCTATGAGATTAGATTGACTCGTACATAGGATTGGATTAAGTTCAATAATTAGGAATTCCAGAGATCCCGACCATAAAATTTTTGTCTCACTTTATCATTATTTATTGAAATGCTAGAAATATATCTTCTATGAACAGAAAGAGAATGAAAGTTAATTTGATATTTGAACTCGGAAAAAAAAAACTATTGTTAAAAATTAGAGGGTCAATCTAGGGTGTGATATATTTTGATATTGTTGGAGGAAAGTCCCACGTGCTGGTAGGTTTATAATCAAAGAATACTCTCTTCTATTGGTTTGATACCCTATTCAATGGTGAAACTGAGGTTTTAATGTACATAATTTCAAAAAAAATTAAATTTTAATATTACACTATATACTTAACATCTCATATTACTCTTTTATCGAGTCAATGTAAGGCCTTGTTTACACTCAAGACAGACTCACTAGAAGAAAACTCCAGCAGAGCCCTCAAGAACCACTCTTCATGCGAGCCACACTAATATGAGCCAACTCTTGGTCGAGCATGTTCGAGACTCCCTTCATCCAAATAAATAAATTATTTTTTGTTTTAAAAAGTTAGATTTAGATTCTGAAAATGTAAAAAAGTCGAGAAAGACAAAGACAAAAATTTCAAGTAGGGTCAAAACAATTACCCTTTAGTGACTATTTATTTTTCCGTAGTCAAAATATTTGACATCTTCATATATTAGAATTTTTGTATGATAATATTTTAAATGATGTATTATCCAAACAATATCTTTACCTCTTTCAAATTATTTATATACTAATTTGATATAATTTAACTATATATACAACAGTTTTGTTAACACTCTCATAAATAATTTCTATTCTCGAGATTATTTTTTTGAGCATTCTATCAGACCTTCGAGAACATTATTTTAATATCTCAAAAAATAAATATAATATAATTAGGTAATTATACGTTTCGATATAAAAAATAAAAATCAAAGTTAAATCTAATATCATGACTAGGAAAAGACTAGGGCATGACATTAAAAGTCATAGCTACTCTTTTAGATTTGGGACAAAACAAAAGTCATTATAGTTTGTATCAATTTTTATGAAATTTTTGGTCGTTACATGTCACTATCAATTCGTGATGTGCTAACAACCAGATTTGAATACGTGATATAACAATTTTAAATCTTCACTCTAACCAATATTATGATCTAATATAATTTTTTAAATCTAAATTATTTGTTATTATTTCTTTGTGTACTTTTTTTCAATGCAATAACATCGGGAAAGATTTGAACCTTAATTAATAATATATATCTTAATTAGTTGAATTATAGCTAAATTAATTATTTTATTACGTGTGACCTTACCTAAGTTAATTTTCCAAATTTAAAGTCCTTCGAAAATGTTTGTTTTTTTCTAAACATTTTCTCTTTATTTTTCAATAACTGTTTTTAAAAATTGCTTAAACTCTTTTTTTAATTCAAATTAAATAACTTAGATTTTTATCTAATAGGGCTTAGAAAAATGAAATCTTAAGAATTTGATAGGTATTTTTGAAATTCAGAGATCAAATAGACAAATTTTGTTTTTTTTTTTTAATATTTTTAAACTTATTAAAAAAAATTAATATTTAGAAACTAAATATATAGTAATAAGCCTAATTTATATGCTTATTATGAGTGATTAAAGATCTTCATATCATCAACCTAATAAAATAACAATATAATGAATATTATAAATTAATTAGCTAAAATAAATTAAAATGAAAATAATTGGAGGAGCATTATAAAAAGTGTTAGCCATGTTGTAAACAAAATCAAACCAGCTCATCATTCGCTTTCAATAGGATATTATTAATATTTCTTTTCGATGTTTTTACGTGTTTATAATAGAAATTATATAGGAAATTTTGTAAGACTGAAAATTGAAATACGGAGCGGGACGAACTTTATCTCTGTCCTATGAACGTCTTTAATCCACATTGTCAAAGTCTAATAGTTCACCAGCAATAACTTTAAATTATACAGAAAGGAACACTAATCATAGCTTCATAATTAACCATGGAAAGTTGAAAAGATACAAAAATTTGATGAAAAATCAATGATTACAACAACAAAGAAACAAATCCAAAGAATCAACAAACAATTTCCGTTCAACTAGTTCTATATGTCAGCAGCACCGGGTAAAGTTGCTAGATTGAAGGTGGAACCATGATTGAATCAGCCGAATAAAATTGCTGAGAAACAGCACTGTCCACATCATAAAACTTATCCTTGCTCATCTCTTGTTCTTTCAGTAAGATCGAATGGTATATTTCATCGATTCGACTCGTCACCTTCGTCATTGAAGGGCGACTATCTGGGTATGGATCTGTACACAACATGGCAAGATTCAGAAGTTGAATCATTTCGTCCAACCCATTCTTGTTTCCTAACAGCTCCTCATCAAACACTTCTGCTGTCTTCTTCTTGTTGACCTTCGACTTCACCCATCGTGGGAGGTCTACGCCATCGTCGTTAAGCGTCGATGAGTTCGGAGTCTTTCCTGTTAGAAGCTCTAGAATTACCATACCAAAACTGTAAACATCTGCTTTTAAGGATACTTTTCGTAGATCGGTGACTTCGGGGGCACGGTAGGCTACAGTGTGGTTTAGAGTGGGGGTAGGGCTTGCAATCTGAATTAGGCCGAAGTCAGAGACACAAGCTGTGTGGGATCTGTTGAGAAGAATGTTTGAAGGCTTTATATTCCCATGGGAGGTCGGAGGTCGTCGGGAATGTAGATACGAAATGCCACGACCAGCCGAGAGCATAATGCCAACCCTTGCTTCCCATTTCAATGGAGTCCTACCAGAATCCTTGTTGCCTGAGATAAATAATAGACATTATGTTCTAACTTAACAAGAGGCACAACAAGAATACTATGTGATTGTTCTAAACAAACAAGTTCTTGATCAGAGGCACAAAGTTGCATAAGAAAAAGAAAGCCAACAAAAATAACAAGGGAAATTCCAAATTGTTACAATTACTCTCTTTCAACTTCCAATTCAACTTCCAATTCGAGTAATTGTTCCATTGCAAACTACTCATAAACTAACTGTTGTCGCACAAGTTCTATTCTAGAAACTCATGAACACGATATGTAACTGCCCAAGCTCACCGCTAGCCGATATTGTTTCCATGCCCTTATAAAAAATGTTTCGTTCCCCTCTCCAATTTGACGTGAGATCTCATAATCTACTCTCTTTGAGATCCAGCGTCCTCGCTAACACTCGTTCCTCTCTCCAATCGATGTGGGATCTCACAATCTACTCCTTTGAGGCCTAGCATTCTCGTTGACACACCGCCCAGTGTCCACTCCTTTTAAGGCTTAGCGTTTTTGTTGGCATACCAACTGGTGTTTGGTTCTAATACCATTTATAATAGCTCAAGCCCACTATTAGTAGATATTTTGACTATTTCTCGATTTGTGCTGTCATCGTAGCCATCCTAATCTTGTTCATAAATCACAAATCACCCAAAGTTTATCTAGGGAGTTGTGCAATTATACATACGAAATCATAGAGTTTAATTGCAATGACTTCATAACTCTAATGGGTAATCACTCAATTTGGCAGATATAGATAATGAAGAAGGAAGAAACTCACCATGTAAATGCAGGGATAAGCTTCCCATGGGGGCATAATCACAAACCAGAAGCTTCTCATCCCTGCCATAATAGTAAGCATTAATGGGAACTAAGTTCTGATGATTCATCATCCCCAAGCTTTCAATCTTCTCCATGAATTCCTCCTCTGAAACTTTGACATCTCTCAATCTCTTCACCGCCATGGTCATCCCCATATCCAGAGCTGCCTTGTAGGTTGACCCAAAAGCTCCCTTCCCCAACACCTCTGCAGAAGCCTTCAACAGTTCCTCCAAATCAAACACACTTTCTCCTTTCCCACAGAACACCAAACCATTCTGATTCCTAATTCCTCCATTTCCTCCACCGCCATTCTTGACCTCCGACCTCGTCGTCATCTGAGCATCATTCCGCCGGTTAATCCTGATCCTTTTACGACATAGAAAGATCAAAATCAGACCGATGATCAAAAATGCAATTAAACCTCCGATTACGATACCAACGATTGCTGCGGTGGATAATTTCTTCTCCTCGCCTTGGCAAGGACTCAGTGGCTTCCCGCAGAGTGAGTTTCCGTCGAAGACGCTGGCTGGTTGATCGGACAATCGCGTAGGGATTGAGCCGTTGAGACGATTGAAAGAAACGTTGAGAGTTTTGAGCGAGGGAATGTTCAAATCAGGAATGAATCCATCGAATTGATTCCCTTCCAAATTCAGAACCTCTAAGTTCGTGAGATTATTGAATCCAGATGAAATCGGACCGACGAACTGATTATGCGCCAAATTCAAGCGAACCAGACTCTGTATACTGAAGAGAACAGAAGGAATCTCACTGGAAAACGAGTTCCGTTGCAAGTAGATGTTCCGGAGCGAGCGAAGGTTTGCAAAATCAGATGGAATAGAACCGGAAAGCATGTTAGAACGAAGAGATAGGGTTTCCAGATGAGTCAAATTTCCAAGTCCTAGAGGAAGTTGACCAAAGAGTCCAACACCGGGAAGCCGCAGTTCAGTAACCCTCCCGCCGCCGCAAATAACGCCAAACCACAAACACGGAGTCTCATCGGAGAGGTTCCATTGACGAGTCCGGCTCCGAGCGCCCATCGCTTTCTGAAGCACCACCAGCGCCGC